TCATCATTCATCATCATTCATCATCATTCATCATCATTCATCATCATCATCATCATCATCATCACCATCATCATCATCATCATCATCATCATCATTCATATTCATCATCATCATCATCATCATCCTCATCATCATCCACGTCCACGTCCACGGTTATTGGTAATGGGGTATGTATGCCCAACTGACCCTTCTCGCCAGACCTTCTCGCGCCCGCCTTAGCCCATCGGGGATCGGCTCAGCAGAGGGTCATCGTCACCAACGCACTGAAGCACAGGTCTCTGAAAGAAATCTGATGACGGTCGGTTGGTCCCTGGGTTAGGCTGGACACCTTCCATCTTTTGGTGTGGTAGCAGCCTTCAAAGTCTGGCTCAACTCAGGTTGGAAACCAGTCTGCAGCACCTGGTATTCATATTGATGAGCGGAAGTTGGGGTCTTTTTCATGAATCCTCTCTCTCTGTTTCTATTTTCTGTGGGCTCGACTGATTTTGGACCTTTTTGGGGCCTCTGGAGATCGTGAAGAAGGGCCAGGAGAAGTGGGCGGCTCCTTGGAGGTTGGCTGCTGGCTTGGCTCAGCCGACACCCATTTAAGGGTGGTGAATCAGAGGCCCTCAACCAGCTTTGGAGAGAGCTATGGAGACGGGTATGGGGCTCCCAACTCAGGTAGATATTGGGAGAGGCCATAGGCCATAAGGCCATAAGGTAGTGAGATAAGATGGAGTTTCTGTAGGTGTTTGAAGAACTTCCATGGCCAGGAACTGCAGAAGCACCAGGATGAGCTCCTGGCTTGCGCGCGCGAGTGGAGCTTTCAGGTGTCCATCCGGCCGAACGACTGGGGTTCATTCGGAATGACATATAGGCCTGAAACGGATCAGTTCACAACGTGCACCTACATATTTGATGGCGAATTCGGATCTGTTTTCTGAATGTTGAGGCAGCTGTGAGGTCTTCATGGATACCCATGAGACTTCAAATCCCTCATGTAGAGTGGTCTTGCTTGAGATTGCGTGAGGGTCTCTGGGTCCATTGGAGTGCCTGCGATTTCCTCAAATCTTCCATCTATCTCTGCTCTCACCTGAAAACCTCCGGAGCAAGAGCCGGAAATCATCGGAAGTCTAGGGAAGTCTTGGGACTCCTTGGGATGATGAACTGGGTTCAGACTCAACAGACGGACTTTTGTTCATACCACTTGATACCCACATCCCGCCACGCCCCAATCCTTGGCTCATCAGAGAACCACTTGTCAGTCGATTCAGACTTCACAGCCAGGACCTGGCCAAGGCCTTTCAGGCGACCAGCAGTTGGGGCACGGAGAGCGCAGGGAGCACAAAGATTTTTTCCAGTTGGTTTGTGGCATGATGGGCGGGTAGACATTGCCCCCCCGCAATGGCAGGGGGATGTTTTTGAGGACGTGTGTTCGTGCATGCAGACGCGTCCGTGCGTTGGTGCGGGCAGACAGGCTGGTGCACCAGATTACGATGGCTGAGCGTTTTGGGGCGAGTTTCAAACCTACAAATGGAGGCCTTCCTCATTGGCCGTCGAAGATGCCTCCCTCATCTGTTGGAATTCGAGACCTTGCTCCGACTTGGGAGTCTTCCCAGGGTGGGACGGAATTGGTTTTCGCCAGGAGAAGGGCATTGATTGGTTCGTGGAAGAGATGCGGCCCATGGATGCAGAGGCCTTGCACAGGCCGGATGGAGCGGATGGAGATGGAGGGATGCCTGGGTTCGTCGCCTTTCAGAATCTTTCAGATGCTTTTGTCCTAAAAGTGGCGGGCAGTGTATGTGCGAAGAGGTTTGGCGTACATACTGTAATATAGAGTGTATGTGTCGACTAATGTCTATACCTACATCCACACAATATGCAAACTGAAGATAGAATTGCAAGACATCAGCAGCGCGTCAGCTGACGAATACACCGCGCCAGATCGGCTCAGCATGTTGTGACTCTACCTGATCGGCTCAGCGTCAAAAAGGGCCACTTGCACGGTCTCAATAAAGAACCTCAATCACATTCAATCACTGCAAAAAACCGGGCGGTTCTACTAGCCGTTACTAGCCCAGAAACACGAAAAAAGTGAGGTTGTGTTTCAGGACGTGCTGAAATTCGCACGCGTTGCAAACCCGTGGGCCGACTTCTAACCACGACGGCATGTCGAATGGTGCTCGATCTCGATCTCCACCTCCTACGCGCGCCGGGACGAAGGTCAAGGAGCCTCTGCACCGGGAAGGCTCTGGTTACAAACCGGTGCCACCTGTGCAAGAGGGGTGAGAGATGGTCTGAGATGGTTCACCCTCAGTGGGGTGGGTTAAGGTCACGAAGGTGTTGCCAGGCGAGCTTGTTGAAGTTGAAGCTCGTGGAAAACTGGTGGGGTTGGCAGAATCGCTTGTGACCAAACGCCCACGGAATATAGACACACTCCTCCTTTCTCTCATTGCCAACCCCAGCAAATCCCAAAGGTTCTGGCGTTTTGAACTGGTCAGTCTCTCTCGAGTGGCTACACCCAAGTCACCCGCCCTCCATGGCCGGAGCGGTCCAACTCGAGGGGTCCGCCCACGTCACCCAACTCGGTTTCTCCGCAGGAGATCCAGGTGATCGGAGACAGCCGGGTGCTCATCGCTCCGGGCTTGCTCGAAGAGATCCCAGCACGGCTGGAGGCACGGCCCCGCCGAACTCCCGGGACCGACAGGAGAAGAGGTTTGGGGGCATGGTTGGGTGCCACGGAGCGTGGAACAGGTCACAGGAGCCACTGCCGATTCCAAAGCACTTTGTTTTCGGGCCGGCGGCCAGGAGGATTCTTTTTCCTCAGGGGCCCGATCCAAGAACCATGAGATCCAAGCGTTCTCTCCTACAAAAGGGTTGACACCGGGAAGTGGCGCAAACGTAAGATCACGCATTTTTTTTACAACATTATTTAAATTAAATATGGGCCCCACTGAACGCCCCAACGTTATTTTTCCTTGTTACAGTATAGAATATGGTTGAATAAACATGCGCCATGGGGAGAGATTGGACCATCTAGCTAGGGTGTGTGAGTCTTATTCATCAACAGTCCACTCCATGATACGTGTATTTCCAACCCAACCGTTTTCTTTGGGTGTGCCACCCGGCTTCAGGCCTGCGGGGTGAAGCCAGCCGCCTTGGCGACTGGGCAGATGACTATGGGGATGGAGGGATGGATGGAGTAGGGGACTAAAGACCAACCCATGTTTTCACAAGAAGAGTGAAGATGAAGCCACTCCGCCACCTAATCAAATCAACTGGAACTCACGGGCCCATATGGGCAGTGCCTGCCATGAAAACGCGACTCTTTGTTTCTTCTATGTTGCGGACATCCTTCGCCCTGGACCCTTCAACCTGGACGGATGGCAGGATGACTGCCATGCTACGCTCATGTCCCTTATGGCTGCCATGCCTGCCACTCATCTAAACACCAGGGTGAGGACTTCACCCATCCCCTCCACCAAACATCCGCGCGAGCGAAGCAGTCCGAAGCTCCGAAGCTGTGAGGCCATGGTCAGCGACAAGACGGTGGACGGTCTCTGCCCCAGACGGCGGGGGTGGAGCTGGTGGGGTGGAAAGAAACATCCACCAGCATACGACTTCACAGGTCCAGCAATTCGATGAGACCTCCTAGGGTCCTTCCCAAACCAACGAGGAGACCTGTTGGAGACCCGGCATCTTGGGCCTAAAAGCTGGGTGGTTACACACCCGAATCCGCTGAACTGGGTCGTGAAGCGGTCCACATGCAGCAGAAGTGGCTGTTCTAAGAAGTTGGGATTTCTTGCACCAAATCTGGGACAAATCCATCCGCCTTCGTGGCCTGTCTTTCTTCGATGACCGAGCATCGAGTCGTCGAGCGGAGAACTCGAGAACTCAAGCTTTTCCGCCCACGCGGAGGAAACTTGAGAAGTCTGCTTGGTGCACCGGTTGTAAGAAGCCACACATGCGAGAGACAGCCGAGCTGGGATGAGATGACTTGGGAAGACCAAATTCTGGCGAATGACGCAAGGGTCTTGGATGCAGGGCTTGCTGCAGATGCTGCTGTGAGTGCTGCTTTTAGACCAAACACTGTAAGATGCTCCACCCAAGATGCGGTCGCCAGTTGTGACTCGGGCGTCGAGCACTGGTCGAACTCCGAAGGACGCTCCTAGTAGCGTCATTGAGCGTCCATGTTCGTAGTAAGGCCAGGAACCCCTTAGTAGCTTCCTTGCTCCTCGTAGCGATGCCCTTTGCTCCTAGTAGCGTCCTCTACTAGGTCTGTGGGTTGCCACAGTTGAACTCAAGTGACAATCCCAGACTCGGTGACCCACATCGGAACAGGATTGCAGATCCTTGACAAGCTTGAGCATCTCCAACTCAGTGACCCACATTGGAAATGGCGCCTTCGTGAATTGCAGCTGTTTGACGCACTTGACCATCCCGGACTCAGTGACTTATATTGGGAATTGTGCCTTTACAACTGCAACTCTCTGACGAGCTTGAGCATCCCAGACTCAGTTATCCACATTGGGATTTCTGCCTTGCAGAGTTGCAGCTCCGTGCCAAGCTTGACGCTCCCAAACTCAGTGACCTACATGCTTTGGCATGGTGCCATTCTTTGGCAGACTTGACCATCCCAGGCTCAGTTCTGGTTCTTTTCGGCACTGCAGCTCTTTGGCGAACTGGACCATTCCGGACAGCGTGACCCACCCAGAACGCCTTTGCAAATTGCAGTTCTTTGGTGACCTTGTCCATCCCAGACTCAGTGACATACATTGGAAAGGGCGCCTTTCAAGGTTGCAGCTCCTTGGGCGAACTTACTGTAACTCTCCGACTCAGTGACATACATTGGGAAGGAAGCGTTTGCGAATTGCAGCTCCTTGGTGAATTTGACCATCCCAAATTCAGTGATCCATATTGATCCGGATGCCATTTCCAATTGCAACTCTTTGGTGAACGTGACCATCCCAGACTCCGTAACCCACATTGGAGATGGTGCCTTTCAGAATTGCTGCGCTTTGAAAAGCTTGACCATCCCAAACTCAGTCACCCATCTCGGGAGTGGGGCCTTTGAGAATTGCAGCTCTTTGGGTTCACCGCACTTGGTCTTGATGGCGCCTCAAAAACCGTGCGAATCAGGCGGAACCAGAGCCGCAGCTTTCTTCGCGTGGCGAAGCTGACCGCCCCCCCGAGAAATTTGGGGAATTGGCGGTGGAGCAAGCCATCCGAACATAGCGGTCATGGATTCATCATTCCCAGCTAGCACCTAGAAGTTTGTAAACAAGACATTTGGTGAAACCCAAGCAGAGTCTACCAGAAGATTTATATACCTGCTCTACTTTGAGTTCTGCACCTCTGCACTCAGCCAGCTCTTTCTACGTTTCGACATCGTTTTCGCCCAAGCTGGTGCAAAGCCCTTTTCCTGAGGCCACTACGGCGACCGTCTGATGAACGCCTTTGCTGCGCACTACGGCGACCGGGACGCGTCGCCCAAGCTGGTGCGCTTTGCCTTCGCGCCCGGCGAGGCCTCGAAGAACCGGGAGACCAAGGCGCAAATCGAGGCGCGGAGCATGGCAAAGCACATTCCAAACGCCACGACGGCCCACGCGGTCGGAGACCAAAAACACCGGAGCCGCATGAACGTGAATCTCATTCATCGTGTGAGGTCGAGCAGACTTCGCCTCCCGCCACCTAAGCCCTCCCGGTGCACTGCATCACCCCCCATGTGTCCTTCGGTCACAGCGACGGAACGCGCACCGGACGTTCCGCGCTTGGATGCGCCACCTGCGCGGTGGGCGGGGCGCAGGACTTCATGTTATCGCACAAGTGCACCCGAGACTCCGCCATCATCGCCTTGGGTGGTGGCGTGGTGGGTGATTTGGCCGGCTTCACCGCAGCCACGTACATGCGCGGTGTGCCAGTGGTGCAGGCGGGGTCACATCCTTTTAGAACCTTGCAGCTTCGAAGGAGGAGCCCTACCAAAAGTAGGTGACCATGCACTTGCAGTTTATGGACTTCCATAGGTTCCTGGAACATCCCTCCAAGTATGTTCATAGAACAATATACCACCAATGTACCACCGTTTTTTGCACAGACCATCCACCCCCCGCCCCATGGCAGAAGACGCCCCATGGCACCTGCCGCGTGGCACCTGTCGCATTTCACCAGGTGCCCACCAGCACCATGGCGATGATTGACAGCAGCGTGGGGGGCAAGACTGCGCTGAACGTGCCGGCGGGGAAGAACCTCATTGGTGCGTTCCACCAGCCTAAGGCGCTGAACGTGCCGCGGGGCTTCCGAATATTTTTTGATAGACATCAATTGATTACTGTAAAAAGCAGGTCGAAAAAGAGAGTGATCCAGTCTTTCCCAAAAGTTGGGGTGGTTGAAGAGGAGTCAATGTATATAGGCATTTCTTCTGCACATAGAGTGATCCAACATTCCAAAGCCATACGTACATTGGTGGTTGAAAAGGACTCCATGTAGGCACGTGCCAATCCCGTACATATAGGCCAGCGGCCAGAGTGCTCCAAGTGTCTCAAGCATTCAAGACCGAATAAACACAAACCAGCACCTTCCAACAGGTTGTTTAGAGACCCTAACAGGTGGTTTCTGAGCACCTGTTGTCACCAGGAAGCACCTGTTGGAGGGTGCTGGAAGAGATTCCTGGGTGGCGGGACTGGATGGAGTGGGGACCCCGCTGGAGG